GTCTGGATGTGCACACCCGGCAGCCACTATAAGCTGCTCCCTTTGCTCCATTGCCCAGGTTACAATCCTTAAGGGCCAGGTGACCTCGGTAGTGGTGTGAGATCCATGGAAATAAAAGGGGAGAGATGTAAGGGTTTATCCACTGAAGCAAATTATCATGTAGGTGATTTTTAAAAGAGCATTAGTACTATGTGAGGCCCACCAAAACCTGAGCGTATGGTGACATTTGCCCAGAATGGCCACTGTCAGCCTGTACCGGGGCTGCTAAGGCTATGGCTTGTCCATCCTTAAGCCTGTCATAGATGATACCAAATCCATCCATGTTACATGATGACAAGCTCCACCTGGACCTTGTGGGAATACCCCTTCAGAGAGCAGGTGACATGCTGAGGGTCCACTATGTGGAGAGATCAGGCTGTGAAGTTGAATCATAGACCCACAGGCAGTCCCCTGCAGAAGCGATCCTCCTTCAGGAGTGCACAGTGAGGCGTAGGAAGGGGACATGAATTCCCAGAGGACTCCCTTTGAGGAGTAATAGCTTGTCACTCTGTGCACACCATGGTCTGGGACAGAGTGTGGTTGATGGTGGGGGACAGCAGGGAGCAGTAGGAAGAGCAAGTCCTAGGGGCTTCATCCAGTAGGCGAAGATGCCAAGCCTGTGGGCTCAGCACCAGCCCAACCTGCTCATGCTTTGTGTTGGGGTCCCCCTCTTCCCTGCCTGGTTACCCACTGCCCTGCTCTAGCTCAGGGTGGAGACCGAGACCCAGGGAAGCTAGGGAAAGAGGTCTGCCCCATGAAAGGCTCTCCGGGCTGAGGTGGCCCTGTGCCTCTTTTCCTGCCCTACTGGTCTTTGCTGGACCCTGGGGATCTGCCTCACCTCACTGGGCCTTTTGCCAGAACCGAAGGCCCCAAGATCAGCGATGGGACAGGTAGCAGTCTGGCTTCTGTGGGGACTCCTTGATCCCAGGCTTAGTGTGATGGGATCCAGATTTGGTCCCCAGCATGGCCATGTCACATCTATTCTGGTCCCGCCTTTTTTCCTCTTGTATTTATAGACTACCTTGGGATCCCTCAAACCCAGGGAAAGTTAACCTGGAGCCTCAGAACAGGCAGGTTCCGTGGAGGGGGCCACAGTCATCTCTCTTGTATGGATAATAAATGACAGTAAAGCTGGTGCTGACTATGCACCAAGTGTGCTTCTGAAGACTGTGTGGTGATTAACTTACTCCTTTTCTTAACAGTAGTATGATGAGAGACTATGGCTATTATTCCCATTTTGCAGATTAGGAAACTGAGGTGTAGAAGGCTAACAAGCTTGCTTAAGTCATCCCACTAATGATAGAATAAAGGTTCAAATCCACTCTGCCTGACTCCAGGATGGGTTCTCTATTACAGAGCCCAGCAGAAACCTGAGACCCAAGCTTGGCACCATCTCTGCCAGTCCTACCATGTAAGGCCAAGCCAAGGGCACAAAGGCAGATTTCTGGGCAGAGGGATTCTCCTGGGAAGAGCACTTTGGCCAACCTGTTGGACCTTGAGTCCAGGTACTGAGGTTTCCTCTGTGAGGGATGAGGGAGAGGGAGAGGGCAGTGGACACAGGGCTTTGACTCAGGATTGAGGAGACCCCCAAAAAACTAATAACACCTGTGTGTGCCACGTACCATGTGCGGCACTTCACCTACATTAGTTCACAAAATCTGACAGAGCTGCAGGGTAGGAGCTACTGCCTTCACCGAACTGAAAAGACAGAGACCCGCCAAGGTTAAGTAACTGGCCCAAGGTCACACAGCAAATAAGGAGCACAGCTGGTTTTCAAACAAGTTCTATCTAGTTTCAAAGCTGGGTCCATGCCACCAAGCGCCAGAGACAGGTGGGAGGGGATGGGGGCAGAGCGGGACAGCGAGAACTCAGGTGACAATCCCTTGGGAGTGTATCGCTGGCGTGCCAGGAAGTCACACTTAAAGGCAGATGCAGACTTTAAAGAGAAGGAAAGACTCAGCTTTTGGATGAGGGCAGGCCTGAGTGGAAGCCATGGGGCCGCAGGGATTGACCTCCACACCTGCCTGTCACTCCAAGCTCCTCTGCGGCAGCAGCAGGAGGAGTGGAGACCTGTTGCTCGTGGGCGGAAGGCTGCACCCCGCCCATGCGGGCCAGGTGTTCTACCCCCCAGAGCTCCTCTGCTGCTTCAGGATCCCCTCCCCCATGCCCTCCCTCTGTGCAGCACACTTGTAGGCGTCTGTGTGTCACGGGGTCACCACTCCCCACATCTCAGGCTCCTGTCCTGGCGTCCTGTGGCCATCCTGGGAGCGTAAGGGTTACGGCTTCTGCTGCTGAGTGGAGGCTGCTGTTCCCCAGCATTAAGCAGCTTTAGTGTCTCCTACCCCAGCCCTGATTTAAAATTCATAAATGCTAATCCTTCATAATTTACGGTTTAAAAGCAGCCCCACTCACAGGCCCCGTGGCTACAGCTCTGTCAGTGTAATTATGCCGCCAAGCTGAAATTGGACTACTAACTGAGATATTAAACAGGGGGGGAAATCCTCGCGCTGGCAGCCGACCCAATTATTCCAAATAAGCAAACAGATTAGTGAGTAATTTTCCAGTTAAATTTGGTGATTGGTGCCAGAATTGTATGTTAAATATTCAGAAGTAAATAGATTAAAGATGAAATGTGGCCCCCCTCCCTTTTTCTGGGCTTAATTTACTGTGTATATTAAAACTTTTTCATGAGGAGAAAAAAAGTAAAAAATGATAATTAAAAAATCCAAATAAACCCCTCTGGGCCTCCCGGTGCAGCTTGGCAGAGGCCAGAGCTGGGCCCTTCAGTCTCCTCACTTCTTAGCTCTCCCAGGCAGGGCCAGCCACTTCCTGTGGCCCAAACTCCAGCCCTGTCCAGGGGAAATCAGAGGGGACGTGGGATTCTAGGCATCTGGGTGGGCCAGGGACCTCCTGGCCCCCATGTGCTGTGTGTATATTTCTTTGCAGAGATATCTCCAAACTACCAGTGACAAAGTCAGACAGGGCTGGGAAAACCCAGGCCTGGGTGGAGAGGGAGAGGATGCTGGTGAACACTCCCTGCTCCTGGGGGACTCAGAATGCTATGCAGCTCTTAGGTCTCTGTGATCAGGCTGGGCCCCTACCACCGTGCCCCCCCGGCCTGGCTATGGCACGGGTCTGCTCCTGTGGGACTGCGGCTGCCCATGTGCAGCCTCTGGGGGGCCCTCACCCCTGCACACACACCTGACCAGGCTCCTGCTGCCACCTTCTGACATTCCTTCCCTCTTCTCCTTGGTTCTTCACAGCAGCCCACAGATGTGTACCTGACAGTATGACCCCAATAAACAAATATGGGAATGGAGGCCCAGAAAGGCCCATGGGTTTTCCCAAGGTCCCCAGCCCTTTAGGGACGGAAATGAATCCAGAACAGGGTTTCTGGCTGTTCCGCCTGTGTTCTCTCTGCTGCCACCTAGAGGACACAGGATTGTAGCACAGGCTTACCCTGAGCAGGGGCACAGATAGCCAGCAGAGAGGGGCAGGAGCGGGGAAGCAAATAGCAGGCTGGGTCAGGACAGAGGGTGGAATGGATGACGGCCCATGGGCCCAGCCTAGGAATCAGGCGCTGTGGTGAGAAGGGCCTGCCGGTGGGGAGTGGGCAGGGAGGACAGTGTTGGGTCAGGGCCTCCAGTCTGAGTCCTCACTCTCCTGCCCCTCAGCATGCCGACTCCAGGCCTGGCACCAACCTCAGGCCCAGCCTCCTCCAGGGCAACTCCCTTTGTGTCAGGGATCCTCCCATGAGCCACATCCCAAGCCAGGAGAGGGAAGAGGGAGAAATCTATGGAACACAAGAGCTGCCTGTGCTCTTCAGAGCTTCCTTCCTCTCCCATCAGAGGTCTCCCTGTAGCCCAGCAACATCGGGAAGACCTGCTGGCCTATGGGCCCACCTGAGAGGTGGGGGTGGCTCCAACTGCTCCTCCCTAGGAGGACACTCTGAGGTTGGAATCACAGGACGGCCTGGCCCACATCGCAGCATCCCACATAAACACAGGCCGGGCAGGCCGGCCTTGGAGCCCACAGTCCAGCAGAGAAGATGGTGTGGGAGACCAGAGAGGATGTGTCCTGCCCACCTTGGGGCCACCCCTGTCAGCTCTCTCTGACCTATTAGGCCTGGGTCCCAAACAGGGCGTGCAAGGACTCCCTGTGAATCTTTCATAAAACACTCCCCCTATACACATGGAATCCCCTGAGGGTATTAACCAACCTGCACAATGAAGTTGCTCCTCCTAGACCAATGCTTTGAAATTTTTAAAAAGTGGTCAAACCCCTTCTGCAAACAAAATGTTATACAAGGCCTTCATGCAGTGCAAGTAAGAGCAAAGCTCGGGTAAACGTCTTAATTTTCCATTCCCTGCCTCCCACAGCCTGAGTCACCTCCCAGGGAAGCCCCCAAATTCCGTTATGGAGGAGGCAGCAATGCGAAGTTGATCTTCCAGCTCTGGGTGCCCAGATTTCTCCTATCAAAGGCCCCTTTATCAACAGGTCCGGCCAGCTAAATGTGCTGGTAAGCATCAGAACTGTCGGCAAGTAGAGGCAAAGCCCTGTCCATCAGGGGGCTCCCAGGACAGTCATGACGGCCTGGAGGGCTTGTCCAGCTGGTGGTCGGCTATGGCCTCACTCTCTTTCTCAGAAAGTTTATAACTAAATTCTTACAGAATTCCCAAGGAGCCACCAGGTAGGACTTAGAGAATGAACGGGCCTTACCCTCTTGCAGGGTAGAGGTCTCCCTGGTTTCTTTTCTGTGGGGTCAAGGCAGCGAAGGCCTCCCTCTCGGCCCCTTGGGGAAAGATGGGAGGAAGGGCCTGCATCATTGTCTGTACATCCTGGGCTCTGACCAGGGTGCAGGGAACCCAAAGTATACAGATTTCCTGTTTTTTAGTTCTTCTTTCTCTAAAGAAAAAAGAATCCACAAAATAATACAACACCACAACAATACATTTACTTACCTCGTGCGGGGAAATGACAGGTTACTCATCAGCCTGCCCAGTGGGAGCGCTCCCAGGTGTGCCTGATGACCTCTTTTGACAGAGAGAAAAAGTTCTCACTTTCTTCCACAAGCGCCTGGCCCAACTGAGTCTTGGCATAGCCCCCTCCTCTCCCAGTAAACAGAAAGGCTTGTTGCCATAGTAACCAGTCCTCTCCATTTCCACCTTCTCATTGATCTGCTTTGGATTTGGTAGAAATATAATTTGGCATGAAAAGCTAAGATTATTCCTTAACTAATTTCCGGTATTTTTAACTGTTTCCTACTTAAGACTTTCCAAGGGAAGTAAGCTTTATTTTCTATGAGTATTAAAGATAATAATAACCACCAAATGCAGCAGAGCATTATGGTCAAAAGAGTTTGCAAGTGACTCTTTGACCGGCTGCTATGAGTCAGGGGCTTCTGGATTCCTTTGCACAAAAGCCCCAGCCCTTTTAGGCCACAATTAAGCTTCAGTTGGGGCCTCTGTGATTGGGTGGGAAGAGACTTTGAGGTCACAGGCAGGCTCTCTGCGCAGGGACCCTTGGTAGACCTCGGAAGGACAGTTCCCCTACAGTGGGAAACTCTCGCCACATGCTTTTGGTCATCAGAGAACCTATTCTGCTGAACACAGAGGATCACACACATATCATGTATGGACACATATACATATATAGACGCATACAGAGACGCCCACGTGAACAAACACACGTGTACCTGTATGCAGTGCACCATGCACCAAGCCTCCCTCGTGCACACAGGCTTTCCAAACACTTGATGTGATACCCACACCAGCAGATCTAAGCTACTAACAGTTTGATAATCAACACACAAAATTTCGGAATATTTATCTCAGCTCTTGCTGACTCCAGTGGGCCACGTCTTTAGGATACTGTGTCTTCCTGTCCATTTCCGGTTGGTGTGGAAGTGACTTGGCTGAGGTGCTCTGAGCAAGTGGGAAAGCAAGAAAGGGTGTTAACCTGGAGCCTAAATTTGCTGTGGAGTAGGAAGTCATTGAGCGCCCAGTGGCTGAAGATCCGATAAACCCTGAGAGGCTTCAAGGCCCTGGGTAGGCTCTGAGGGGAGGAGCCATAGGCAATAGATTGGGAGCTGCACAAATAAATAACATTATTACAGCCACCCCAGGAGGGCCTGGGTTTACTATCACTGGGGTCTGATACAGGGTCAGGGGACCAGTTAGCTGGGACACTGAGGAGAGGTTCACACCCACCTTCTCCTACTCCTGCCCCACAAGCCTGCTCTCAGCTCCCCTGCCCCAAATCATATCAGAATAATAAAGGGCTTGGGTTGTTGGTGCTTCACCGTCCGGGATTAGAAAACGGAGCTCTCACTGGTAGAGACCTGCTAGCCCAGGTGGGTGTTGCTAAAAGCCAGGGCCCTCTGCTGGTTTCTGGCCTTTAGTTGGCCTCATAGGAGCTGGAGGTAGGAGTGGTTGGGGACAGTGGGCATCCTCTCACTGCTGTGGCATCTTGGCACCACCTGTCCTCATTTCCCCGGGGGCCCCACGCTCCCTGGGAGTGCCCTTCTCAGCACCGTCTCAGGAACCTGGCCCTGTGCTGCCTTCAGGGCACATTCTCAGCCAAAGGTCCAGGAAAGGGTAGATGTGTGTGAGGTGATGCATGCTGGGATTTGTGCACATATGTAAACGAAAATAATTTCAAGAAATAATCTCTTACTGAGCACTTATTTTAGCAAATGAGGCAGAATGGTACAATGGTCAGGAACAGAGACGCAGAAGCCAGAGTATCTGAGGGTCATAAGCCTGCTTCTTCCTTTTACCAGCTATATGATTTGGGGTAAGTTCCTTTAGTCTTTGAACTTCATTTTGTCCATCTGTAAAATGGGTGTATAGGAGTGGGAGCCACTTGACAGTTATGATGAAAACTAAAGAGGTTGCTAACGTGTGCAAAACACGTTAATGTGCCTCTGGGGCACATTCTCAGCTGAAAGCGAATTCACGTGGGTGTCTCTGTATGGTACCCGGTACAAAGGAAGTGTCACACAGTGTCAGCTGTTGTCCTTACAGTCGTAGGGGACAGAGATTGGCTCCCGGAGACTCCCTCTCACTCCTAAAGGTCCCGAAATCCACAGATGTTCAAGCCCCGTCTATAAAATTGTATCGCGTTTGCACAGCACATCCCCCCACACACTTTAAATCACCTCTACACCGCTTATAAGACTTGTACAATGTAAACGCTATGTAAACAGTTGTTCTACTGTATTGTTCAGGGAATAATGAAAAGGGAAAAAAGTCTGCATTTGCTCAGTACACATGCAAATTTTCCTCAGATATTTTCAGTCCATGTTGGTTGAATCTGTAGAGCTGGACAAACAGATACAGAGGGCCAACTGTATTATTATCATTGTTCAATAGTCCACGCAATGTCAGACACTCAGCTAAGCAAAATTTGGAGTTCATTTAATTTAATCCTCCCAACCATGCCATGAAGTTGACTATTACTAGTCCCAGTCTACAGACTTAGGGTCTGAAGTTCAGAGAGGTTAATGACTTTCTCCAGGCCCCACAGATGTAAGTAGCAGAGCCAAACCTCCAGCTTAATTTCCAGAGGAACCTTAGTGATGGTGAAGGTCCTAGTAGCAACCTAAGCCATAGGTAGAACACAAAGACTTTTTCTTTTTCTTTATTTTATTTTACTTTTTAAAAAATTCCCTGATACTGGGGATTGATTGAACCCAGTGCCTTTGCACAGAGCTATGACACCAGCCTCTTTTTATATTTTATTTTGAGACAAAGTCTCACTAAGTTGCTAAGTTGTGCAAGCTGGGCTCAAACTTGTGATGTTTCTGCCTCAGCCTCTCAGAGTGCTGGGGTTACAAGCATGTGATACCATGCCTGGTTCCAAAGCCCTGTCTTCAATGAGCAAGTCCAAAGACATCGAGCCCACAAAGACCCCCTTAAAATCCGCAAGACGTGGCAATGATACACCTGTCTCTTACTCACTCTTCAGTGGCCACACAGCAAATGAGAAGTCGGAACAAACGCTGGGACAGCCAGGAAATGGACCGCTTTGATGTGAAGCCCCAGGTGTCTCACCCACCATCCCTGGTGACCTGGTGACCTGGTGACCTGGTGACCTGGTGACCATGGGGATGTTTGGAGTGGAGCCTGTCCTGCCGACAAGAATCTCATGTGACTGAACTTGGGACGCCCACAGCCGCCAGGGATCTTGTTTCAAAATGTTTCTTTCTTCAGTCATTGGTCAGACCTCCATCCTCAACCCCACCCCTTTCCCTGGGGTCTCCATCTGTGGGATGTTGTTTGTATCAGTGACAGCCAAACTGTTTTACTAATGTGAATCACTAACACCTTCAGAGCACAAGCACCCCACTTAGAGGACCGCTGGCCCCGCCAGGACCCACTACATGATTTACTGACTGAGGACTCACCTTGGTGCTGTCAGAACAGGGCAGGGGTGGTTGCCACCTTGCTCTGCCCTGGAAGTGCTAGCACGTGCATGCACCTGGCTCCCTTGTGGGGGCACAGACCCAGCTAGGACAGAAAGCAACGGCAGGCTGCTGAGCAACGCCCCAGGAAGGTGGTGGGAGTGGGACTGTGCCTGGAGCCCCAGCACATGCTCAACTGTTCCTTCAGGCTTCAACACAAAACATAAATTCAAAGATAAAACTAAGGATTTCAAGGCAGCAGGCACAGAGCCTGAAACCCAACGCACAGAGCCCTTCTGGGCCTGGGCCACCACGTTCAGGCCACAGCACGGTTTCACAACTAGGTGTCACCAATCCGCACCTCCAGTTCATCAGGCCCCTGCTTCGTCAACCCCTTCCCAGTCCTCTCTGTCACCTCTTGTCCACCGTGTGCCCCATCACGCCAACCAGCATTCACGTCACCATTTTTTTTTTTTTTTTGGCCTTTCCTTCTTTGCCTGTGTTGCCATCTGCTGAGTGTCCCTTCCCACACCTAGGAATAGGAGTACTCCTATTCCACCCGTGGGCATTTGTCCATTTGGTCATCAGCCTTGTGATGTCTTTCCTGACCTCTAAGAAAGTGGGGAAGATTCCATTTCTTTCCTCTCCCTGAACATTATGCATGCATTTCCACATTCAGTACTTACTTGTTCAATATGTATTCATCGAGCATCTATTATATTTGGCTATAGCCTGGCTGATATTCTGACTCTCCCCCGAAGAATAATCAGCTCCCACAGGTCACTGTCTGATTTCTAGTTATCTTCATAGCCTCAGAGCCTGGAGGCAACTAATAACTATTTTGTTATGGGTGAATGAATAAATATCCAGCCGAGATCACCCCTATTCTTCCAGACCTGTCTCTACTGATATTTAAATACAGTACTCTGAACCAGTAACTGGCTCTGGTACTGGTGTCAGGGCTTTGAGGTATAAGATGGTGGCATGGGTAGCCTGTTGGGGTGAGTGGGCTTTGAGGAGGGCACCTGCGAGAAGCAGCAGAGGTCAGGGAGGCAGAGGAAGAAAAAGTGGGCAGGCACAAAAGAGGACAGGGTCTAGAATGCCTTGCAGGCAATGGGGCGCCATTGAAGGTTGCAGGTAGTCCAGTTCCTTGACTCTGTTTTGGACTGTGGCTCTCGATGCTGTCATAAGATGGGTTGGAGGGTACAGAACAAAGATAGGGAAATCCACTCATGCAGTTACTGAGGTAGGCAGGAAGGTAGTTTGGGCTCAGTAAGATTAGCTGCAAGGGCATGAGAGCGGAGGGATGGGGCTGAGGAGGGTGTTCCAGATGCGGGGGATCCATTCTCTATCACTGCCTCCTGCCCTGTGCCCAGCCAGTGGGAGTGCATGCTTCTAAGGCCAACTAGGACCAGACTTCACCTCACCCCATGTTGCCTCCGAAGTTCGCTGACCTTCATAAACTATTAGGAAATGTAATAGCATGCAGCACCATAAGATAAGACGTTTGGCTCTAGATTTTCAGGGCATTTATTTGGTTTCTAGTTATAACATTTGATGTATTTTGTGATTTTTTTTTTTAGAAAAAATAGCATGCACTTCACACTCTATAAAATATGTACCCATGTACACAAGTGAGCACACGATGCATTTACTAAGGGACATGTCATACACGTGTGTAC